CAAGAAATTGGGTTTCAGTTCTCAGTGTTTGGACCGACAAACCAGAAAGCGTTCCGATGAAGTTGCATGTCGGCATCATATGATGGGGAGTATATTGTCCGTCTTGTTTTACCGCTTGACAGTACAGAAGGATATCTTTGTATGCAACTGCTCTCAGCAACTGTTGCTTCGTTTAATAAAATAAACTCTCCGAAAAGAGTCTTAGCTCTGAAAAACATTTACAGGTTTCTTAGTGAAATAAGGATTTGTGAGGAAAAAACTTACTTTATTTACACAGCGTTTCGTCAGTTAAATGTATTTTATATTCAGCTTCCTAATAGTTCGATGAGAAAAAAGAGAAATATCAGCAAAAGGCAAAATTTACAATGTAAATTGGACAAGTGAATAAGGCTTATTTGTTTGTTTATTCAATTGTTTGTTTACCGAGGTATTTTTTTTAATCAGCGGTTGTAGTATTGTCGAGGGGCCTTTTCGATCAAACTGGCCGACTAAAAGAATGGTGTAACTAAAGTCGTCAGACAGTAATTCTCTGATTTTGCTTACAGGGGCACTGGAGAAGACTGAACTGCAACATTTACAGTCGTTTTCCCTGTTAGGAAGGAGGGGGTGTATTGGAGTGGTAATGGGGTAGCGTAGGATACCTGTAAAGTTTGTTCGATGAATTCCTTTACAGTTCTGTAGTCAGACGTAGAACCCCGTCATTCGTGGCTTCTACAGTCGGCAGAATTGTTAGTGGCGCTGGATGACTTGGCGTGAAAAAATATGACAGCTGCTTAATCAAGAATAGAGCTACTATTATATGATGGAGTTAAGTAAAAAAGCCACAGCAATTACTTTTTTGCAAGAAAGTCTGAGGTGTGTGAAATTAGTACCAACGTTAATTTAAGCACACTATTGGTGCCATTTGATTGAAACACTAGTTGACTACAAAACGCTGCTGTTCAGTTCTGTTTGATTGTTGTGAAATATGGTGGCATACGTTTAGATCTACTGCCGAAAATTTTTTACGCTTTGCTGCTTTAAATGTTGTGCTTTTTTACAAATTATTAAGAGGATAGTTCCATCTGTTTGTTCTGAGTGCTTTATTCAGAAGTGATAAGCACTTTTACCGCTGTTGATGACGAAAATAGTTTTCACTAATATCAGTGTTTGGCCAGACTGCCGGTTATCACAAGTTGCTCTCACTGAAACAACTTTCCAAAAAAACAGCTTTTCGTGGTAACGGCGGCCAGGTATTCACCGATTGAACGGTTGTAAGTGGTGTTCAATTTCTTAAGCAGTAATTTAACGTTGAGAACCTTATTGAAAGCCTAGCTTACAACCTGCTCTCATAGTTGGCATATTAAAAAGTAAACTAGGGTATTTGTTTAACTGTTATTCGGGATACATATCTGTAACTCAAAAGCGCTGGTTCAGGCATAGTGTTGTGACGATGTTCTGTGCCAATGCAAAATTGCAACATCCTAAACTGCCGCATTTTCTGTCAACTATCTATGAACTGCAGCTGATTTGCCTTAAGTTTCACTCGTTATTCTTATGAAGGCGATGGTTTTTGCCGTATTCAATGAAAGTAATATCCTTTTCGTATATTTTTAAAAAATTTCAGTAGAATTAATTTTTATAGTTCAAGAAGCTGGTCCATTTATAAATCTTCGGAAAAATCCAGGCTACAGCGGCAGTTAGAATGCTGCTAAGTAAACGAATAAATCACTCCAAATGTGGCAAAAAGTTATGATTCAATGAAAAATAATGCAGTGAATAATATGAACTAACCTTAACTATAATAAGCTGAATTTTTTTTACATAGTAAGCTTGGAATAAGGTTTGAAGAAAATTCCTTTTGGGATTACAGAATCAATAAGGATTAAT